AAGAATCAAATGGTCGAAGTAGAGGCCTCTGTCTCCCCCATCACTGTCGAATGGTGGGTATAACGTCCTATGCGGAAGCAGGAGTTTTTCATTCCAATGTTCCAAGTATGTTGGGCGTTCCCGCAGCGATCTGAACACTCCTGTTTTGATGAAGAGGACTTTAATCCGAAGAGGAGAGCGATCACTCTTTTGGCCGTTTGATCCTCTGAGCTAGACAGCAATTTTTTTATTGCACTCTTACCATTTAACATCGGCACACTCAGTGCTCCTTCGACTTTCACTAGTATATGTCTCATCAATGCTATTGAACTTGGCTGCGAAGCTGAAGTGAATTTGAAATCACTCAGGGAGCGGTGTGTGATGCGTATTCTAGCAAATAGATATCATACGTTTCCTGACGGCATTCGGAACGTTGATTAGCGCCTCTATGGAACACGATCGAGAATCAATGGCACTGTTCATTCCGAGACATTCTGAATACTAGCCAAAGGCGCACCTTCTTGCCGAGATTTTTCATGTTTGTGGCAAATTCTCCTTGGTTTTCGAGGCTTCGAGGTTCCAGCGGTTCCAGGGGCATCAGAAAGAGTTCGAATAATGTGTTTAAGTGGCCTTGTAGACAATGGAGTTAGCTGTTATTAAAAAGTAACGATCCGCGCACCCTGTTCAAAGGAAAATACCGCACTTCATTGACAGGTATAACACACCGGAATTTAAAACTAATTGGTTTCGTGAGAAAAAAGTTTTGCACGGAAGACCGTTTGGCCGAATACTTCCGAGCGCTACTGTAGTAGGGATAGCGATGAATTCATCTGTGGTCTACGAACACATGACTCTCTCGCAGGCAGAATGTCCACTGATTTGTTCTTCCGGCATATTCCATTGTGTGTCTTCGCTGGCCTAGGAGGGTCAATGGTCGACGAACTTTTCTCTTCCTTGCTGTAACAAGTTCGATCTCTCTGCTGTTCCCAACATGGCATATTTTTGTTATCGTTCTCAATCTCCAATTGCAATTGATTCTTAGTGAAAATGAGTCAGCCATGGACACACCATCGCCTACTAACGGTTTTTCCGCTTCTTCAATTTCTCAAGAGCATGAATTTTCTCCGGCAGGCTCACATAGTCTTTGGCAAATCGTCCAAAAACATTCGTCGTCCTGCACTTTGCGCGTACGTAGTTTCGGAAGTTCTTCTGAAGTGCGGGAATCGGGACTATCCAGCTCAAGGAGTTAGTCTTATGTGATAACATGATGGTGAGATCCTTTTGTATGAAATTAATCGGCCTAACGATCGAGAAATTCTCTAGTTTATCTCCTATTAGGTCATCCCATTCAAAAGTGCCGAAGATCTTATTCATATAAAACGAAGAGAAAAACAGATAGAAAAGTAATATTTTGGCTTTGAGTTAAGTAGATCCCTCCTTCACCAATGACCCGCTCCCAGTGCCCCGGGAAGCGTTTGAACCTCTGGTAGTGTCGTCTTTTCAACAAGTGCGAGTAAACTGCTCTTCATGAAACTTTTGACGAATGGCAAAACGTTGTGGCGTTTGCCGTCGGAGAGTACCCTCGACTGACCAGAACAGTTGGAATCGAACGGCTTTATGTTGGGCGAATGGGGCGATTGAACCCAGGTCTCAGTATTGTTTGTGTCCCAGCACTGCCCTCTACAATACAGTTACTCGGGGTCTGGCACTATGACGAGCAACGGTGGCCTTCTTGTAGTTGTGTGGTACCATCCATTTGTCGATCTGATTGCCGAGGAACAGGCAATATACACCGACAGTGACGGATTTGTTCTCTGTATAGAGCCGCTTGAAAGCCACAGTGTGGGAATCCTTTGCTATGATGATCATCCACTTGCGCCCACGTAACTCTTCATGGTAGAACTCGGGCGGCTTCTCATCTGCATTCATACAAAATTGACGATTGTGAGTTTTGGCTCGAGGTCCAAGACCACCCATATTTCATCTAGGGCCGGGGTGCGTTTTCACAGTCGTGAATGACATCTCATGCTGAGAACATTACTGCTAGAGGCATAGAATCGGTACTGCGTTCGTGCTTCTACAAGAAAATTAGGTACCCATGCGCACACCCTCTTGACCATCCTCAGTTTATCGGACATAACTCGGGCAGCAGTTGCAGCAGGGATGTCAGTCTCGCGGGGAAGCTCGACAAAGGTCCAGGCTCTGTGATCAGACATTCAGCGCTTGACTTCATCCACCCTTTTTTCTTGTGCAGGATGAACATTATGGGACCATCCACGACAACAAATTTTTTTCCTTTCTTCCTTCTTCGGGCTCCTGAACCAAACCTTCCACCTGTATTTCGAGAACACCATTACACACAACTACTGGTCCGGCGCAGGTCAAATTTGAGCAGCGCACTTCCCTCTTATGACGCCTGATTTGAAAATCCGGCGCCGATTTTCACCTCAGGCTTCTTTTCAATTTCTCTGTGGGTAAATTCGCCAAATTTCACAGATACACAGCTAAAGGTACTAGCCTCCAAATGGTATAGTAGCCCGCTGCTCTATCCCCTTTGCTTTTCTGCCATTCCTCTATATAAGTCTCGGCTTTTTTGAATGGTATGACCTGATAGATATGCCACTGGGACTGGATTAGGGCGTTGTCGCGAATAGTGAAGTCGGGAATTCCTGTGCGGGCCACAGAGGTTGTAGAGCACTGCTGAATTCTTCGGTGATACTATTTTAAAGTGGGTCAGTCGTGTTACCACACATGTAAAAACACAGCCTGACGGTTTGACGAACCCGTCAGGCTGTGTTTTTACATGTGTGAACACGACTGACCCACTTTACTTTTTGGGGGCATGAATAGTAGGGGAACACTTCAGATTGTTGATGTACATATCTATTTCACTACAGATCTGTTCTTTTACAATTTCTTTGACTTTCCACATTAATTTTTTTACAAATAATACGCCCCAGTGAGATAAGTGACCCTTTAATATATACCGTACACACGATTACATGCCTTTTTCAAATGTTTTTTGGAAACGAACCACCTCTACTTCCTTTCTCTGCATTTCTACCTTCATCGTTTTTGTTCTTCTTTATTGGAAATTTTAATTAGCTTTTTCATGGACTAACTTCAGGAGAACCGTGCCTTTAGGAATATTATTCGAATCTGCTTATGACGCTTATCATCGACCCCTTTCCTTCTTTGCTTGCATTTTTTATTTAGTTCGATAGACCACTCTTGAGCCAATAGAATCACTGCTAGTAACTTGTACTTGTAGTCATCAGCGTCAGTGTGACTTGAAATTCAACTTGTCTTGAGGTATTACACTGGACGGGTAGTTGGGATCGATGGCATGTAGAAAGGTAAAACGGGCTTTCATTCCGTTGCATCATGGGGTTCCGAGTTTTAAGCGAAAACTGTCATAGGAAGAAGTAGATCCCAGTCAGCGTGGAATTGATGAATTCAGGATTTTAGTCAGAATGGATGCGCTTAGGCCATCAGTAACCTTCACAGATTCATCGCTCAAACAACACTCGAGCTGTCTGTACTGTCTTCTTTGTTTGTCTGGAACAGCATAGGCGCTAGCGAACTTCGAAAAGTTTGGACATACTTGTTCTCTCTCTCTCTTTCAAACCATACTTTACCAAGTCTATGCCAATCAACTCGTACGGAGCTTGCGTAGTGAATGTTTTCAAGGCGCTATCGGCATTTCGTGATTGCGAGATAGAAAACAACTTGAACATTGTATCAACCATCTAAGATGTCGGCCTCCATGCTTTCGCAGAACACAATCTTGTTAAGCTTGCCATACAACTTGCGAGCATTGAGGTGCATGCTACCGAACTCCGTTTGCTTTATCGAACAACTCCCTTGTTCTTGACTTGGGCACCACCTTTACTATTGAGCTTTCCAGTACCAGCATTCTCCATCATCTACAGGGAACTCGCCACACGAAATTTTCGAGAACATCTGGGTCATTTCACGTCTTTGTAATCGTTGCCTACGTCGATACCATGAAGATCTCCCTATAGTCGTTATCTTCTTCCAGTTTTTTTAGTCATGCGCTATCTTGCGCGCTCACTTCTCAGATAACTGCTCTGACATTCTTATCTTTACAGGGGCCGTTGCTCTCTGATAAACTTACAGCGCTGCGCGATAGCACATCTGCCCCTGCGCTTGGCTTTTCCGGCCACATATTCTATCTTCAAGCGGTAGTTTTGGACTTCCACGGCCTACCGCGAAACTCTTGTCACGTGTTTGTCTTTCTAACAGGCACGCAAGGGTTGTTGACCCCTTCGAACCGCTACATTGAGTCCATAGATGAAAAAATGGAACTTCTTTAGGGCAAACACCACTGCTACTGCCTCCATGTCCTCTTCTGCTTTTGCAAGGCTTTTGGAAGCGAAAACACTATAGGATGGAGCAACTGGTCGTCTCCCATATCACATAATCCAGCCCCTACTCCATCTGTCGCATCTGTGTAAATGATAAATGGTCTTATTCCTTTCTCCGCTGCGTTTACATTTGGTTATGCCAGCACGGAGCGGTAGTCAGTGCTCTCTTCAAAGATGCGAAGCTGGCTGACTCTTCGTTTGTCCACTTCCATTCGTTTTTAGGACTCGTCAAGCTGTATGGACATTTTGCGAGTTGGGAAATTCTCGCTATGATATTTTGTAATGCGACGTCATTCCAACAATGTTCTCAATCCTGGTACGTTTGTCACCTTCTCGGGATCCGTTCTTACTCCGTCTTTGTCTATAGGATGGCCAAGAAAAACATACTCTCCTCAATAACTCGCATTCCGTGGTTCCAAACAAAAACTCGCCTTACGCAGCGCTTCCAAATACCGCTTACAAAACCACATAATACCGTCCTAGTGTGTCTACGGCGATCAGAATATCGTCGATATATAAGAATAATTTTTTTCAAGCCTTACCCTTTCAGGACCATATCCATCATTTACTGGAAGACTGCTGGACTGGTGGATAGCCCAAATGGCAACACAGTAAACTCACATACCCCCTCACTTGAAAGCGCTTTCCCAGCATTAAAGGTGAAGACCATTCAGACGAACTTCGCTCAACTATGCCACACTTCACCAAATCCTTTATCAGTCTTTTGCGCGCTGCTACTGAAACTGGCCTATTCTTTCGTTTTAAAGGTCTATGCTCTCCATTGTCGATTTCCTGGACCACGAGGTCGGTCTGAGTCAACTCTGAATCCGTTACGACGAGGAAATCGTAGACTTCAAACATTAGTTTCTTCGCTTTATCCGTGAGCCTCGATGCTATCCCGAATTATGCAGCACTTTCTAAAGACGATCCTTTCACAAATTCCATTCCCTGGGTTCATCTATGTGTAGTAGCTCAACATGTTTTTTTACCCATTCCTTGTTCTTCTTTCTCCAACTCTCTCACCTTTCGTGAACACTGCGCCCTGATCAGTGTTGTTGGTCGCTGGCGAAATTGCCTCTTTATCTTCAAAACGGCAAATTCCGTCCATCAAGAGTGGATGTTGTGCCGAGAAGACAATCCGTCTCGGACTGGTATGTACAGGGGGGGGGCAAAAAAAGTCACTTTTCTTCATTGACTTTCGTGGCGCTATAAGTTACACTTTATAAATTCTAATCGGACATTTCTACCACCATATTAAAGAGCATATTAAATACTATTATAAAACTCCGCCACAGCCTTCTGGACGAGCGCCATCGAGAGATTCTGGCACGCGACCGCGATGTGGTGCCTGAGATCAGCGAGATAGTCGATTTCTCCGCCACCGTAGACCACCCTATTGAACTCCGCCCGAACCGGGTAATTGAGGGGATTCAGGTCAGGTGACCTACTTGGATATTATCTTCTTTAGGTACTCAGCCCCCTTCCATTCCAAGTAGGCGAGAGTTTCTCCAACGCCCTTCGATTCCATGTGGTGGCACCCAATGCTGTAGCAGTACAAAGTTTCCAAGAAGGTACGGGCGACGACATGTGGGGAGGATATTCTTCTCGAGTTGCTCGATGTAACCGCCAGCGCTCACCTTCAGTCCGGGGTCCACGAAGAAAATATTGGTCTTTCCATTCCAGGTACCTCCGGTCCATACCATCAACCCGCTCCTTGACGACTGCGGTGAAGATGATGTCCTAGACCGTAGCGACGTTGTCGGAGCTGCTCGATGTTGGAGGTCTTCCAGATTGAGAGTACTGGTCTCCAGGTAGCTACCCATGGGTGACTCCACACTAGAAGTTTCGCAGCTGTTTGGAGGTGACATGAATTCCAAAGGTCTTCTCCAGTCAGGCTGCGACTGGAGATGACTTCATATTTTGGTGTACATGAAGGTGATGGGCGAGAGCCAGCTCCTGCTTATCGAGGAACATCTTGGGTATCTTCCGCCCTGGTACTCGTATCCACGTCTTCTCTCTGGGCTGCGAAAACTTTGCTGATATGTGACTCGGTCGAAGTGACTTTTTTTGCCCCCCCCTGTATGAGCGCACGCTATCGAAAGAAGTTTCTTTGGAATGGAGATTCCCAGTTTAACCTCCGCCCTCGTTTCATCGTTCTCGCTTTCGCTACTAGAGATGAGCTTATTTGACTGCTGTGTCCGTTTTCTACTACATCCTTGAACTAACTTCATGTTAAAGCGTTCTAGTGCGTTGGTTCCTAATATTACTACTTCATCGAAGCCCTTACCAACGTACACAGGAATTGATTCCTCCTGTCCATTGGGGATGACGTACACTGAGAGTATCAAAGACTATGCAATTTCTTAACGCGTCTCTTACCTTAACTTTTGAGGGAGTGTCCGCTCGACGGAGTTCTCGAGTCTTAATCGTGAATCTGTAGCCTTTTTGAGCAGCATTAAAGGAATTATTGTCGCTTGCAACCCTGTATCCAAGAGTGCTTCTACCGTTGCGCCAAGAATCGTAGTTTCCACTTTTGATCTTTCACCAATAATGTCACTTAAGACCTCAGCCCTCGTGCCTGCTGAGCGCGTCCACCTTTCAACGCTCTCGAGGCCTTCTGAGGACCTTTTCGTTTGCTATGTGGATAGGTGTCCTTTTCTCTTGAGATGGCAGGCCACAGTCCCTAGTAAAGTGCCCTGGTTTTTCACAATTTTAGTGGGTCTTTTGCTGTGCTCTTTCTGCTCTTTTCTCCACTCCTTGTCTCAGCTGTTTCCTTCATTCTTGCCACGTTTGCCTCTGACTCAAACTTGTTGGGGCCTGAGGAAGACCTTGGCCTTCTTCCTTACGCTGTTCTCGCTTTGACTTAAACCGCTGCGTAGGCTTCGTCCTGGTAGCATTTTTGCATTCGCTAATACTCCTCTCTAGCCGCAGTGCGGACTCCTTCACCTTTTCATAAACTTCTCCAGCTGCACTGGTTTCTAAAGCTTCCATCAAGCAATAGCTACCATCCCAGTTCGCAAGCTGCCTGCTCAAAATTTCCGCTTTCTGTAGCGCAGTCACTTCTTGCGGCACTTGTGGGTATGGTTTAATTGCTGAAGCAAAGAAACCACGAGCTGGTCATCTCTCAGGGTTAAATTGCTCAAGTCGGGAAGCCTTGATCCTTCCGGTCTTTCTATCAACGCGCATGCGCTTATTCACTGCCTCAGCACCATCATCGAATGGCGTACTTCTAGCAGCAGGGTTTCCAGTGTAGTAAGCGCGTCTTGACGTAAGAAATTTCGAAACAGCTGTTAAGGCTAGCATCTGTCCCTTTGTTTCTTGGGTACTTAATATCTGACAAAGATAGGAATCTTTTAAAACACTCATAAGATCTACCTGTAAGGGGCTGAACATCACTTAACTCTATAGTTCTTGTTATATATAGTCACTCATGGGAAACTCAGAAATTTGGTCCTTGCGTTTTTCCGATGAATGTCGAGTTCTGAGTTTGCTTCTTGAGTCTTCGTTCGACATAGTCCTTGAGTATTCTCGGGTACACCCAAGTCGACGCTTGAGGTTCCTGAAATGCGAGATTGGGCATAAGATTCCGCTGTTGTTACGACAAGTACTCGATTTGTTACCGTTGTTAGCAGCCACAGGTCAGTCGCATGCACCCTGGCCGCTTGTGACCCTCAACGAGTTGTTGCCCAGTCTTCAATTCTCTTACGTAGGCCTTCTACCTGTAACTCTTTTTGATGTAGTTTATCACACAACTGGGAGTTAGTTTCTCGTACTCATAGTTTCTCTACTTATTGTATAGAGAATCCCTCAATTGTATCGAGTATCTGATTTGTGGCGCAGCCCAGCTTTTGATGCGCAATTAATTATCAACTTCCTGTCGTCGAAATAATAACTGCTTCAATTGTTCGGCCTCAGAGATATGTGCTGCTTCCAAGAGAATAGTCATCCCGGTAGCAGTCCTTGGCCCGCAGAGATTGCGCATTTCTTTCAGAATTGTGAATCTTTCTCACTAGCGCGCTTTGTTCATTTACGGCTGCCACCACTGAATCCCGCTTTAGGGTCATCCGTACGCATAGTCTTTGCTAACTCACTACCGCACTTATAGCTATAGTAGCTATTTGTGGCGTTATTTTGTTAGCGAATTTGTCGAACTCTTTATCAAAACTCACCCCTGACTCTTTTCTGCACTCATCCAGATCCATTTGTTCCGAGGGCTCTGTACTGAAAGGAAGGAAGGAGAAGGCGTGCGCAACAACTGCTCGGAACTTGTCGACGAAGCATGCTCGTCAAGTCTGAAAGCAGGTATTGTTCAGTTATATGCTGTTCAGAGTATCAGCTGCTTAACTCTCAGATTGCTGAGGGAGAGATCCTTCCTTCCTCAGCAGTGGCTTCAACCGGATGTACCGGGAATCCACTTTGCATCCACCTTGAACAAGGGAAGGCACCAAGAGAACTAAATGTAGGTTTATCTGAGCCAGAATAAATGAAGCGAAACAAATTGCAGATAACTGAATGACAATTTGAGCTTCAGGGGTATCGAGGTAAACAGAATAACGAACAGTTAACAATAACAATACAGATGGTACTAGCTTTGACGGGTAGATAATCGATAGGCGGGCAGCAGAATAAGAATATGAGTAGGAACCAGGATTCGAGCAGAGCCACAAGCGAAGAACCAAAAAGCCAAGCCCTGGCGACGGTAGGGTATTTACACCCTTGGTTCGTGAGCAACTTTGAGGGGTTTGGGACGCGATGAGATCGGACAAGGCAGATAAACCGAGATTTCATCATCAATCTTGTATAGGAAAAGTTGCATGATCAATACAGGACAGGAAAAGGTGATTGGGTTGCACTACGCAACCCCTGACTCGCATGTCGCTTCTTCTCATCACCCCAGTACCGAGTGCCATCCAGAAAAAACAACGAAGAAAGCACTGGAAAGAAAATCAAAGCAGAAAATAGCTCATGGAAACACCCTGGAGGAACTTGGGTTCACTATAAACTATCACCAGCTAACTGCTGCACTGTGTAACTGCATCATGCATCATTGTTGAGAATGAATGGGGCCAAAACGAATCTTGACTTGCAGAGTGGGCTGCTGTAATTGCTTATTCTCGAAGGAGTGTCCAGAGAAAGCAGAACGACTCATGAGCTAGCAAAACTTGACGCTATAGCGATTCCCATGATGAGCACATGAAATGGCCCTGCAACGCTGACAGGATACGCGCGCTGTAACTGATTTTGCAAGTCGTCTTGTAGGTCATATGGGATGAAAGTGGCATCCGCTCCGCGATTGCGGGCCTGACCACCGAACCCGCGGAGGCATCCCACGTATCACGTAGTCGCGGGAATTGTTTCCAAAGCTTTCAGCAAGTTTAGTAGTGCCGTCTGTAGTGCACCAGGCCTTTTGTTTCGACGCGAGTGCAATTTGCGTGATGCACAATAGAGCCTACCAAAGTTAGGGAGAACAACAAACAGTGGTGCCAAAAATGTCTATCGCCGAATATTCCTAAACAATTTTGTTCATTCTATAACACTAGTTCTTAGATGAGATTAAGTTTCGTAGCTATACACTGTAATTTCGCTATGTATCGCACCGAGCATATCTCTGGAAAAAAAGCACACTTATAAACGATTGACACATTAACGACTAAAACTATTGGCTTTGGTGAATTCAGGCCGACTACCTATTTGTTGGGCTCTCAGGACATAGTAGTACGGGGCTCGCCCCTCTTTCTGCCTCCAATTTGTTCAGGCAAGGTGTGTGAGGTGGGGTATGACAACCTTTGTTGACATGCCAATACGAGCCATATGATATGCTCCGATATGTACCGGCTTCACTACATGCGTCCACGCGGAGCCGTTGTTTCATTGCAACCAGACGTTCCGTGTTACATGATAAGGATAGTCTTTGTGGTTAATCATGGGAGAGTCTTTGTGGTTAATCATCCCTTTCTGGGATGCGGTACGCATTCTACGTCCATATAAACTGGAGTGGCCTACTGAATTCAGCCAATGTACGAGTCGATGTTCCTATCCTCTCAAGCGAAGTTGGTACTAGTTACCATCTCCGATAGATGGCCGGATTAGTTTGAGCGCGAGCCGATATTGATCCGCAGACCGAGCATGTTCTAAGCGTGTCACTTGTCACTGCACTACCTGCGTCATCTCGGGTAACACCGAATTAATCCACGATCGGCTAGGAACGTATCGAACGCGTATATCGCATCATGGCCACTTGCCGAATATGGAGGAGTCGCGTAGCCGCGGTAACTTTGTTTCTCACGAGATCATAGTACCTGAAAATCAATGAAATAGCCTGGTAAGGTTGTAATGTTCTGCCATTGTGATTAAGCAGGATCAGCAGAGTAGCAAGGCACGCCGCATCGCAGTTGCACGATTCGCACGCATATCACACCTCACCCAAATCAACCGAAACTACCTCTTCAAAATCACTAGTTTTATAGCAGAACCGCTTAGAATGCGGAGACTTCTCTTCATATCTCAAGTTCGCACTTATTAGGTTGTCCGGAAAGTTCTCAGCGTTTTGGGTGTTTCACTTTAAACGATCGTAACTTTTTTAATACTCATCGGATTTAATCGAAATAGGCACCATTCGAATCAGCACACTTTTGCCAATGTGACAGCAGTCGAGAAATCCCATCAAAGTAAAAAACTGGGTGGTCGAAAATTCACGAAATCCACTAAGGCTTTTTTGCCTGGTCCTGATTGATGAAGTATTTTCCAGCAAGGGTGAAAATGTTAGAAAAGGTGATAGTCGGTTGGCGAAAGGTCTGAAGAATATGGCGGTTGAGGTAGAACTTCAACCCCCAATTCGTTCAATTTATGGATAGTGATTTGTGAAACGTGTGGGCGGGCGTTGTCATGCAAAGGAATCGGACCCTTTCTTTTGATAAGTGTTGGCTGCATCTGACAAAATTTTCGGTACAATTCGTCGATTTCTTCACAGTAGGGTTCTGCTGTGATGGTTTGGCCTGGTGATAAAAAGTTATAGTGGATCACACCAGCCGATGACCACCAAGCCGTGACCAGAATCTTTTTTCGTGAGGGTTCGGCTTTGAAAATTACCTCGGTGGTTCGTCGAAATCCAACCACTGTCCGGAACGTCTCCTGTTATCATACATGACCCATTTTTCATCACAGGTGACAATTCGGCCAAAAACAGGTCGTTTCTGCTGCGCAAAAGCAATGCAGAAGGAACCTCGAGACGTGCCGATTCCTGCCGGTCACTCCGATTGTGGGGCACCCAATTGTCGAGTTTTTTCACCTTCCCAATGCGTTCCAGACCATCTGCAACAGTGGATTTGCCAAGGCCTAGCTCTTCTGCTATCTCTCGAACTGTTTGGGATGGGTCAGCCTCCAAAATCCCCCTAAAATCCTCGTCAGATATTGCTTTAGGTCGACCGCTATGAGGTTCATCTTCAAGGCTGAAATCTCCAGAACGAAATTTGTTGAGCCATTGCCGCACAGTGCTTTCTCTAGCACTATTGGGCCCCCACACCTGGTTAATTTGTTGAGCTGTTTCGATTGCGGATTGCCCCAATTTAATGTGAAACGGCAATTATACCATCAGATAGCGCAAGAAATTCTCTACAGGATGTGCTACTGAGAAGCAAGGCAGAATGAGTTTTTAATCAGCAGTGAATGTACAAAAAATAGGTGCACAAAACGCTGAGAACTTTCCGGACAACCTAATAAATGCTTCTGGAACGTTGGGTGAATGCTACATTTTATTGGCCTGGTCAGCGCCAGAATCAGCTTTTTGTTGCCACTTCGTGCTACGCGGCTGGTAAAGAGGAAACTGGCATCATTCTTTTGCCTTAGTAAACAAGATGACTGAATAGTATGGGTGCACGAAAAAATGTTCCTTTAGTTGTGCTCGCTTTTTCGAACAAAATTTTTGGATGAACTTCAGAAATTCAAAGTAACAAATTTCACCGGGAAAGTCGGAGATGTTCTCTTTACCAACT